AGGTCCCTCTGGATGTCCCATCCCTTCCCGCCGGCTGGGACTGCCCCACACACCTGGTGTGCTCAGAGAACTGAGGGTTTTTAGGATCTGCTGCCTCTGCTGCAGAGCTGAAGGAGCACTTTACCTGCTGAGGAAGAAGCAGCTTTGTCCAGGAGGAAGCCTTGCTTGGTGAGGAGAGGAGAGAAGAACTGGGGGAAGGGAGGGAGGGTGGCACAGGGCTGCTGCAGCACGTGGGCTGTGCTGTCAGGGAGAAGTGACTCGTTACCCAAAGCTCCTTCAACTCTTGCCTGTTCCAAACAAGGCAGAGCTGCCTGGACCCACCTGAAAGCCCCTGGGAAGTGTGGCTGGAGGTAATGCTGCAGCATCTCCTCGGGGCTCTCACAGCTGCCCAGGGGGGACCAAAGCCTCTGTCCTGCACAGCTACTGCAAAGGAAACCAGTTTGGGTTTTTCCAGGCTGAACCCAGCAGTGACTCAACTGCTTTTTTTTAGCTGGTTTGCTCTAAAATTCCAGGCACGTAACTGGCTCAGTCACTAGACTCTTCCTCCATTCCCTGGAGGGAGTGTTTGGATGAGGAATCACTACTGGGGAGAGCTGCAGCTCCAAAGGCAGAAGAGCAGTTCAAATGCTGATTACCTGCTGGGATTTTCTTTGCACATTCCTCGTAGCACAACAGACTGAGCAAAACAGCAGCTGACCTTTTGCTCCCTCCACGAGGACAGAGGTTTCCAAGGAATCTCCTGCTGGTGGGCACTGAGAGCATCCAGGAGTGAGCAGCCATGGAAGGCAGGGAAGGGAAGAGCTGCCCAGGCAGCCACAACCTGTGGTCAGGGATGAGACAGCTCAGCCTGGAACACATTCCCATCTCCTGGGGGGTGCAGTGTACTGCCCCTGGCTCCAGCAGGGCTGGAAGAGTCAGGGGGAGATGCTGTGGTTGTCCTCACCGTCCTCCCAGAGAAGGTGAGGGACTCAGCAAGGTGCCCCATGGAGCCCTGGCAGGACCAGAGCCTGTAGGGAGCAGTGAGGGTGTCGAGTGCTGCTGCCAAAATTGCACTGCTGTGGTAGTTCAGGGATGCCTGGGGAGGAGACAAAGGGCAGAGGTACAGGGAAAGTCTCACTCACCATCCCTCGACCAAGTTTGGTCTGTTTAACTTCACCAGGGGATGAATTGTGCCTTTAAAAAAATGGGGCTTAGCAGTTACTTCAGGCTTCGAAGGAGCAGTGTGGAAGTTACTCCAGGGTTGGGATGAGCAGTGTGTAAATTATTCCAGGGTTGGTACTTCAGGCTTGGAAGGAGCAGTGTGTAAGTTACTCCAGGGCTGGGATAAGCAGTGTGTAAATTATTCCAGGGTTGGGATAAGCAGTGTGCAAGTTATTCCAGCCTTGGTATAAGCAGTGTATAAATTATTCCAGGGCTGGGATAAGCACTGTGGTAATTATTGCAGGGTTGGGATAAGCAGTGGGTAAGTTATTCCAGCCTTAGGATAAGTAGTGTGTAAATTATTCCAGGGGTGGAATAAGCAGTGTAGAAGTTATTCCAGCCTTGGGATAAGCTGTCAGCTGTTTGCTACCAAAAACTCTGGTGCCAGTTTTTCAGCAGCTGGAATTTCAGGGCTGGAATTCCTCCCCAGGTGGAGAACAATGCAGTAAAGCCTTTTGCTCAGTGCCAGCCCAGGGAATGTGTCAGTATTTTCAGAAGTAGGGAAAAACATGGAAAAAAAAGTTGACAGCTAAGTCCAAGGGAACAAAACAAGACAAAGTCTCTGCTGAGCAGAACAGCAATGTGAAAAAGCAGCACTAAAGCCACAGAAAACAGGTGGAAACAGGAAAGCTGCAGCAGCTCAGGGACTCCAAGGCAGAACTTACATCGTATTTTAGGTAGGGAAATGTCACAGGAGGTTGTGGCTTCATTCCCAAACTCCCACTGAGGGACAGGGGGCAAAGGAGGGAGCTGTGCCTGGAGAGGTGGGCAAGGCCCAGGGCTGTGTTCATCAGTCTGTAAAACCTGTTCTGAGGATCCTGAGGGGGGGAAAAAAATCCAACCATTGGAATTAAAGGTGCAGCCAAGAACCAGCCAAACTCAGGCAGCACCTGCCCTTGGTTGTGCCCATGGTGTGTGTACTTACTCCCACGTTACTCAGCACTGGAGTCAGGCCCCAGGTCAGGATTCCTTTCCCTGAGTACTCGTCGTGGAGCAGTTCTGTCACCTTGGCACCAACTCCAGAGAATCCATTGTGCAGGTCACAGAGGACTTGAAAGCCCTGTGTAAAATACAGTCAGAATCTCCAAGTCTACTCAAGCTTGAGCAGAAAGGAAAGGGAGTTTGGCCTAAACTGGGAACCTGCAGGTAGTCACACTCTTCAACATAGAAGTGCAACCGATCTTCCAGCTCCTCCACACAGCCAGGATCCTCCATGAGGCTTTCACCTTGGCCAAAGGCTTCCAGACAGCCACAATCCCTAAGGAAAAAAAGGGGGAGAAATGCTTATTCTAGCTCCTCTTAACCCGTGAAGGCAAAACTCAGCTCCAGTTCTGGGCAAGAGCTTCTGCCCCAACCCTTGGCCATACCCATCGTGCATGTACTGACGGACGACGTAGACACTCTTGGGGTGCAGGGGCACATTGAGGTAATCTGACCAGAGCCTCCCTCTGCCTTGGGAGGGAAGGGCCTGGGACACTGCAGGAGCTGCAGCTGCATGAGACAGGTGGGAAGAGCAAAGGTCCTTGGATGTAGACACCAAGTTTTTTATCTTGTCCAGGGTTTTAACCCCATTGCTGTTCTCTGCTCCATCTCTAAGCAAAGCACTTTTAGCCCCTTGTTTCCCTTCTCCAGCTCTGAGCATCCCTTGGATGTTGACACCAAGTTTTTCATCTGGTCCAGGGTTTAACCCCTTTGCTGCTCTCTGCTTACAGACAGATGTGTCAATCCCATCATTTTCCTTCTCCCTGTTCCCTGACACATTGTCCCACAGGGGCTGGTTCTGGGACTCTGATCCCAGTGAGTGACCCAAATCCCCCTGGGGTAACACGAGTGGGATGGAGCTGGCACCGCACACCCACCTGGCACTGCTGTGCTGGGACTGCCCTTCCCATCACCGGCAGCGTCTCCCTAGGGAAAAAATCCCGGCACGGCGTTACGGGAAGCTTCGCCTGGGCCCTCCACGAGTCGGCAGGGAGGGAGCGAGTGGAGCAGAGTCCTCTCTCACCGTTGGGCTCCCGCTGGCCCGCGGCACATT